TCGCGGTATAGTAACGGTATAGAAACGGAAAATTCATGTTCGTTATGAGTCAACAATTAAATAAATATCGATCTCGTTTGTCAGTCGAGCTCGTTTTGTACCTTACTTTATTTTTTCTTTCCTCTGACTTGTATTTTTGTCCCCTCTCTCCCCTTCCCTCCTTTCTCTCACTCTTTTCACACTTTCGTGTGATACGCATAATAGATACGATTGCACGTGTCATGAAAGAAAACATTGTGAAACAAGACGATTATTCGCAAATAACTCTTTCGCGAGCTTATTTTTTATAATCTCAATTATGGAAGTTTATATGGATAAATGTTGTCTTTATCTATAATGTATATTTAAAAGTTTTGATAAGAAGGACAAATATATATAATAAGTAAAAAAAAATCTTTTCCGAATTTAGAAAAATTTGTTATAATGGTAAGTAGAAGTAAGAGGATACAATACAAATATCTATATACATGTACATGGAATAATACAGTTTACTTTTCTATATTAACAGAATATAATCTTTGCGAGATTAATTATAAATAAATCAAGTCTCTAACATTTGATCATTTTACATCTAGATAATCCTTGAGATATATTTGATGATCTATGCGGATGGGCAGTGATTTTAGAGATCAATTGGTTTCTGTGCAAGTTAAGGCTAACTCAAGTGCAGAGATATTGCTCGATCAATTATCCTTGGAATAGTTTGTTGGATAACAAGGTCTCTGTGTGTCGAAGATGGCTCGGTAATCGTCTTATCATTTTAATGGATTATCAGAAGTGTCCTTCTAGTAATATGAGTGTGTCGTTCGATATGGTAATACTCTTTTGTGTGTATGTGAATGATTGCATATTTTTTTATATATATAAACACCCATACACCTGCACGCGCGCGCGCATTTATAAAAAACTATGCGTATACATCTAACATGCCTTAAAAAGAAAGGAGAGAGTACATTTAAAAAAATAATGTAAATTCCTTATAAAATTTTTTAAATTTTATTTTGATTTTTTTAAATTTACTTATTTGGAACTTTATTTATTTTTGGAATTTTCTTTTTTATTTAATTAATATTTTTCGTCATTTTTAGAAGGATTTGAGCTTGCAAATGTAATCGCAGTGAGAACATTAACGCCGCACACATCGCTATGTCGAGGTGTGGCTTTGAGGATCGATACTTGTGTTAATTCTCTCTCTTTCTCTTTCCTTCCTTTCCCTTTTTCTCTCTTTCTCTCCTTTTCCTTTCCTTCTCTCTTGCCATTATTATCGTACTATCAATTTTTTTCATTATCGCTGCATTAAAAAAAGTCATGCGCGTATTTATGTAATATTCTATTTCTCAAAATGATCAAAGCTTCTTAAAGTAGAAAATTGTTAATGAATTTTTTCAAATCATTTTTTATCTTTGATTCTTTCTTTCCAGAGGGTTGCAGAATGTTTTTATAAAAATGTAAACTTTTTCAAGTAAAAACTCTTGTCAATAATATTCGCTTTAATATTTGAACTCGTTTTTCTAGTCATATCTTGTAAAATTGAAGAAGGGATCACAGAGTGAAAAGATGGATTCCGATCCCCTTTTCTCCAGTCCTCTCTTCTCATAGTCCCGCGAATCATTTGAAAAGGCTGCAGATGGAAAAATGATATTCATGTGAATTTAGAACACTCAGTACTTCGACATAGCGCAATCAATATCGAAATATTATTCTTTGAGTCGATATAACGATGGAAAATATTGATTTGTAAATTAAACGCGAAATTGGATATGAGTGTATGAAAAATATGAAAATAACTGTAAAAAGAAATTGGTAAAAGAGAATCATAAGCAAAATGGTATAATATTGTACAGAATTGGATGTATTGTGTAATTAAAGTATAAACTGTTTATAATTAAAGAGGAAAACGTAACGGCAATCATTATATATAAAGTAATTTAAAAATTGTTTTTTTTTTATTTAGTAAAGATATAAATATCTTTTTTAACATATACTTTGATAATGCTTATTTTAGTTTCTTCTTTTATCTCAGATTTCCGTTTAGGTTTTATTGAATCGAACGCGATATAAGAAAAAGAAAATATAAACTTGATTTTTCATGGCCTTTTGATTTCTTCTAAAAATAAAAAGTGCGAAGGAAGTGTAAAGTTGTAATCAACACAAACTTTAAGAACTTAAATATGTTCAAACTGTTCGTTTAATATTAATTAAGTTTAACGTTTATTTATATTGTTATGAATTTGTTAAGTTTCTTTTACCGACGATAAGTACCCATACGTAAAATTTAACAATGTATACACATGGCAAAAATTTCACGTATTTTAGATCATACCGGTTAGTTTTAATATATTGATATGCAATATCTTCTAATTTATTCATGTTTTTATTTACTGGAATTCTTGTGCTGAAATTTATTTTACATTTCATCTTATTCATGAATGCTTATCAGATATAATGGAATTGAAAGACGCGAATCCATCATTAATGTCAATCGTATTAAAAGTATCGATCAAAGATGAGGAGGAATGAGTAATGGTGTTATCTATTAATTACTGATTTTCGTTTGCTGTGACGAGATTTTGTGTCAAAGCGAGTTATCGTATTAATGCTGCGCGTTAACTATGAAATAATACTTCTGTCAAGAAAAGTTTTACTCTCATTATGGCGGTATGGCAACCTAGTTCGTTGATCGATTTCAAAATAGGTACGCATAGAGGACAGCGCATTGCGGCGAAAATGCTGCCGGATAGGTAAGACAAATGAAACTATGTTAGTGAAGAACAGAGCAAATCGAATTTTCTTAAAATATTTTGGAAATAGTAATATTTCACTTCTATTAATTTTTTAATTATCTATTATAATTATTACATATTGCTGAGGAAATAGGAATGCAAGCTAAAATGTCAATAAATTGGAAATTTAATTATTTTACTAAATCGTTTTTTTCAACAGACATCACAAATTTAATTAATTACTTAATTTGTACAATTAGAAAAAGTTTGAAGTTACCAATTTTACTAGAGTAGAGACTAAAATATTCTATTTTTTTTTTGCTTATTGTGAACATGTTGCTATAGAAAAGATATGAATGTCTTGTGTTTATACTTGAACCTTGCCGACAACTTTTGTAACAAAGAAAACTCGTATATTCATTAAGAAGCCGGATTATCTTGACATTTAGCACGTAAAATAGCGTCTCGGCGTCGTGGAAGATTTCTTAGTGTCATCCGACGTATATCAATCGAGAATGATTCTTGTTGTTGTATAGTGGATGCGGAGAAAAATATGTCATTATATGAGTCATTGAATGACTTTTCGCGTATGAAAGAATAGGCCATGTCTTCATTTGACTTTGATTAAGCTCGAAGCGGAATAAACTGCTTCTCGGATTAAAAGGGCGAGAGAAGACTTCTTTCATTGACTTTTTTTAGTATACACGTAGAGTAATCGTAGCAAATACTGTTTAAACATTATACAAACAATTTTCTCGTACTCGAAAATTGATCTCTCTTTTGTAGTCTTCGACTTGTCCAATATCCGTGCGAAAAACTATTTATTGCACACTTTATTGCTAAATCTACTATACACGATTCGTGGTTTTCTCTATTTTAATTTGCCGTATTACAAAATTGATTACTCTCTTCTATGTTACTCGTATAAGTCTTTAACACAAATATATTTTTTATATGCATTTAATAAAAAATTAATTAAAATAATGAATTAACAAAATTAGACGCAAAATAATTTTTTATTTTTGTGTTTTTAATATGCGTAGCGATAAAATTGATGTTAAAAGAGAACATGATAGGATATTTTGAATATAATTGATAAATACATTTCTTTAACAATTACAGATAATTTATCTTATTTGTCGACTTTACTATGCGCATTTTCATTATCCACAATTTAATTGCATCTTATTCATGATAAACGTCATAGTAAGCGGCATTCTTTTTTACTTATATTCTTGCACATCCTTGAGTGGAATTGAATCTAGTCGCTGTAAATCGAGTGCAATTGTTTGCCTAGTGCGGATCGTTAGGCAAGTTAATTGACGACAATCGTTCTTCAAGAAGGCGTCAGTTTGCATGACGATTATATTGTTCAGTAACAGTAAAGTGAATAATATCTGATGAGATAATGCCGTTACGTTTCTGTTTGATGATATTGGATATCAACGATTTCGGATATCCCAACATGTAGTATCGACTATCACGTTCATGAAATCTATATAACTTGTTAAGAAATGATTGTTTGTTAAACTTATGGCACGCAAACTTATGGAATTTAAACGAAAGCTACAATTTGTTAGGTATTGTCTTATGGCACGCCAAACTCATTGTTTAATGATATTGTCTTGCGGATTGAATGATTTCGGATATTACCGGCATGTAGCATCGATTATCACGTTCGTGAAACCTACATCACGTTAGGAATTGTCATCAAGCTTATGGCACGCAAACTCGTAAAATTTAAACAGAGAAACCTTTACGATTATACACTCCGGTATCGTCGATCAGCATGAATTTCCACGTTCCAATTGTGAAAAGTTTGATCGGATGTGCGCAATGCGGTAATTCAAAACTTACTGGTGCAAGAGAGAGATTTAAATATGTTAAAATATATTATGAATAGATGGAGAGAGAAAGAGAAAGAAAGAGAAAAAAAAGTAAATAAAATATGAAATACGAATAGACAGTAGACATACGTATGTAAAATTATTATACACGTGCATAATTATACACGTTATATTAGAAATGTGAAAACTTTTTTAAAATCTGATTTGTTAAATACATTGAATTTTAGCAAATAAAATCATGATAAATGAAAGAAAATATAAAGATAGTAAAGAATAGCTTTCTATAACATAATAATATTTCGTTTCTATCATTGGTCCTTTTATAGAATCCACTTAAAATACAAACGCCTAAATATAGGATCCATTTAAAATACAAAATTGTAATAAGTACTTTCACAAACTTGACGTCTTGTCATCCTCTCTGTTACAGTGAGATTACATGACAGTATACAAGAGGAGAATTTCCATTATCTTGTCTTTGATCTGTAAGTATACCAAATTGTTATTTCTGACTGTTAAATGTTAAATTAAACTTTTTTATGTGTTTCTTGTGTATTCTCTTCGGTGAGATTAAATTGGTTGTTTTATAGAGCTCGAATGGTAGTAATTGAAATCTCGAATGATTGTAATGACGATGCACAATTTATTTTAATGGCATTTCTAACATTTAATGTTTTCAGAATTGTATCACTTATGTCATTAATAGTTAATCGATTGTTAATCAATTGCAAATCATATATGTGTGTCTTCATCTGATACGTAAGGAGAAGAAAGTATTGTAATCGGCGTTATTTATTTGTAGAAAATTACAATTATTATTTTATTTATATGGAGAAGATGAAATATTATTATTTTAAAAGAGGATAATTCTAAAATTTACTATTTTTTCTAAAGACCGAAAATTTATATCTATCTCTTTGTTTTAAAAGTTTCATATTTTCGATCCCCCACGCAATCATGTTGGGAGCACTTGATACGATTGAGCTGACAATAGACGCGATTCTCGAGTCATCGGTCTGTATTCAGAACGCGTTTGTAACAATGTTAACGCGCATTTAGCATACAATTTACATTACATATGCTATACAATTTCAGAAATAAAAGCGCGCATTTATCGATCAAAGCGCGTTCTGAATACAGGTCATCACGTTCATCTATTAGTCTCGATTCCACTAACAGGCTTCTAGCAGCGGCGAACAACAGCGAGGCAATTCGTGAGCTCTAATTGCAGTATCAAGTAGATACCAATCTGTGGCCTTTTAAAATCGTCAGCGATCTGCGCACGAGTCAAGAAAATGTCGCGCCTAATTTAATTTCCGCGCGAGAATACGCGCGACCGCTCCGTCACGTTTAGATTTGTAACGTTAATTTACCGTATATCGTAAATCTCGTTTCTCCTTCTTGCCATGTGGCAACGATATGACTTTGCTACTTTGCCACGTCGCCTGCAATTAATCTACAGGTTACAGAGGATTTAATTTCATCTATTCGTCTTTTGCTCAACTTTTTATTGACATGGCACGCCATTTTTGGTTTCGTCTGCCGAATTTTTGATATTCAAGCAGTTAATTACTTTTAATTTTATGCACGTACACACGATACGCAACAGTTCTTCCGCCGTTCTTTTTTTTTCATTTTTAATGCAGAAATTTTCTTTCGACTATCAATTCATGTATAATTTTCGCTGGTAAATTTGATTCATCATTCGGCTGTAATGTAGGTCTGTTGCATTTTAATGTAATAGCTATCTTTAAATACTGATCAATGAGATTTTACGTGTGTAATGTTATCAGCGCCGAGACACCTACCTACGTGTCTCCAGATAAGAGAAATCTTGCTACTTTTTGCACAACAAATTCGAATACAAGCGGTATTGCGAGAACACGCTTACGTTATATGATGCATTTATGAAAATTCACGCTACTTTTATTTCCGGGGTTAAACGTCCCGCTACTTTGGTGGCTTTATCATGCGATCTCGCGACGCGTTCGCGAAATGGAATTGAAACGTAAAACGCTTACAGAGTCACCGGCGGAGAACTGTTCGAGGACATCGTCGCCCGGGAATTCTACAGCGAGGCGGACGCCTCGCACTGTATTCAACAAATCCTGGAAAGCGTTCACCACTGCCACCATAACGGAGTTGTGCACCGGGATCTGAAAGTACGTAGAGAAAAAGGGTCGAGTTTGGTGAGCGCGCTACGAGTTTGTAGGGCCGACGTTGAAATAAAACGAGCGAAACACCTGCAGCGCGGTCTATCCTTCCACAATGCACTTCCGTCCAATGCTTCATCTACCTTTCGCGATTTGCACGAGACATTTCAGACACTCTAAAATGTACGATAATAATAGAAGGCGGTATTTTCAATCGTGTTCTCGGTCAGAACTTAAAATTCACCGACATTTATCGATTTTCAGAATTCAGTAACTCCCTAATTTAGAGTCACGTTTTCTATTAATTCCAACGAGATTATAATATTCCGTCTATTTTAATGTCAATGAAATCATATATATATACGGAATGCTAGAATCTTATTCGAGTTTAATTTCAATCGAAATGTTGGTTAAAGAAGAATTAATGAATATCGACTCAATGTCGAGCATTTAACGATGTCGACGGATCTGTGCCATTTTCTGTTGCAGCCCGAAAATTTACTCCTCGCGAGCAAGGCGAAAGGGGCGGCTGTGAAGTTAGCAGATTTTGGTCTAGCGATCGAAGTGCAGGGTGAAGCGCAGGCATGGTATGGTAAGTTGACTTTATTTTTTCCGGTGGATTAATCCACTGAAACTTACACTTTGTCTTCACGCGTCGGTCTAGTTCTAACGATGATCGAAGCGACCGAGCCATGCAAATACCTTGCAGGAATCTTTATAAGAAATTTCTTGCGGGAAGAAAAGCCTGTGTCATTTCACAATTCTTTCATGATGTTTAACTTTTGTTCGATAACGCGAATGTTCGATCTTTTTTTTTTTTTCACAAAATCAGTCGACGACCGTTACGAAAACTAGTTATCCACAAAAGTCAGGACGGAAATAAAAAAAAATGACACTGCGTTGAGACTTTCAGCGAGTTGAGAGATCGAACAATTTCTTTAATATAAGCAAAATAATAGGATTCGCGAAATACCGTGGCTCAAGTTGCGAATTTATCCGACACTGTAATTTACAAGTGAAACTTAGTTTTTGTTCTCCGTAGTCTTCGTTCAAATATCCTCGCTATACAGTTGCTGCAACTTGCATCTATATATTTTCTTCGTATCATATAACATATTATTTTCTTATGGTAACACATTAGCATTAGCGTATTGCAAGAAATGTCAATGATATATCGAAAAATTATTGCAGACTTATTTTAATAGAAACACTATTATTCAGATTTTTTTCATTAAAGAACAATTTTAGAAAAAACTTTACATTTTTTTACTATAGAAGACTATCTTTCTCATATTTTATTTTATTTCTTCTTTGCAGTTTTTTTTTTTTTTTCACATATTTCCTTCGAGTATCTTTTTTTAACATATGCATATCTTTCTGTCAATATTCGCTCGACTGAGAAAAGTAAAAAAAAGATATTGACTGGAGGCACTCTTATTGTTAAAATACATATATTTCGAAGAATTTCGGTATACTTTATTTTAAAATCTTAAATCTGTTCTTATAAAAACTACTTCGCGCTGCTGCTCGCACCAGCTGTGCGAGCCGTGAACTTGAATCTTTCTGTCCACTTTGTGCCTTGTCCATTTGATTTACATACCATTGTGCACTCAGATGTCTATACGAGCCAGCATATTTGCCAGCTGGCTACTCGTTTCTTTATGCAAAAATACGCGTGGGGAAAATTTTCCGATAGCACGGTGAATTCTTCTGCACATGCAGGCACTTCCATAAAGAAACTTTTTGAAAGAAATATCTTCTGCGATATTTAATGTCAAATATCTTAAACATCTACATATAACACTCATCACTTAAATTCATGTTAATATTTACATGATTTAATTGCTTTAGATTATTTTACCGATTTGTTAAGTGCTTGAAATTTTTACTTTATTATTTTATAAAAAATTACGGAATAATGTTTTTGAGATACTTCGTTTATCCTGATTGATCAGATACAATTCTAGTGTTCTAGCAACACTTTTTCACTTCTCATTTTTATCATCGCAATTGATTTTTTTTTTTTCGACGTGATGCTGAAAACATACATGCATTGTAAATTCGTCAAATTTATGTCAAAAATTATTAATATTATTCCACGCATGGAAATTATATAATTTGTGGCAAGGCAATTAAAGTGCAAAAGAATAAAAGACGCAAAAATGGATAGTTTAATACAATTGAAATATATTGTTCGCAAAATCAATATTTATTTAATTACAGTTTTGTACAGAGTGAGTGTTTATTGGATAAATGAAATATATATAAATGGTCACGTGAAGATTAAAATGTTTAATTCAAAAGAAATGTCACTGTTGTTCTTGCGAGCAGATTTTTCTGTACACTTATAATCTTGACGGTATTCGTATTATTTGTTTTTCAAGAAATTTATTAAATATTTGCGAAAACATTTTTAGCGAATGGTTAACAAAATAATACGTTGAGCCAAGGAATTCAACGCGATTATTGACAGAATATTTCCGAGGGCAACCATAGACGATCCAATTGCGCAATTGTGCTTTTGTTGCGTCAAAGCACGACTGCATTCTGGTTACAATCATAACGGTTATACAACGATGGTGTATGCTTATTGAAAATTAATTACACGTGGCAAAGCGCGAATGTAAAATAAAATCGCCAATGTAAAATTTAAAAAATATACTGGCGAATTCTCACGATAGCACATAATTGCCCCAGTTACGTTTTTCGCGTGTCATTAATAGCAAAAATTTTACTGCCCTTTTATTTTTATTTTTTTTCACTATTATTATTTATATAGTTTTTGATACACATTGTTTGAAGGAATAAATTTTGCGTATCGTAAAATAAATATTTAGCTTTTGTAGCCACATATGAACCACAAATCTAATATCTAATCAACGATTTTAGCATAAAAATCTATAATTTATGTTACTATAGACACTATCTCGCGTAGAGATGCTTTTTTTGACATATTATAATGATTATTAATTTATTGCACAAATTATTTAAATATACATATTTTTATGAAAACTGATACACAACACACATGCATCGCCATCGATTATCTAAATTATCAATATTATAATATAAAAATGTCAATTTTACCTTAAAATTGTCCAACTAATTTAAAAACGTAATAAAAGTTTACGAGCGACTGTCGTGTTTGCTTTCCGAATAAGGAGAATTAATTGAGATGAGTGGTAATACTCGGGACGTGATTTCGCGCACGTAACGCCCTGATCCCTTCGATCCTTCGTACGGCGTGGTCGTGTCCTTCAAAAGGGAATGTATTGAAATTATTGAAAATTATTAAAAAGGTTTCGCTGGAACGCCCGGCTATCTCAGTCCGGAGGTGCTGAAGAAGGAGCCATACGGAAAACCAGTCGACATATGGGCGTGCGGTGTCATACTGTACATCCTTCTGGTCGGTTATCCGCCCTTTTGGGACGAAGATCAGCATCGGCTCTATGGACAGATCAAGGCCGGATCGTACGATGTATGTATTATACGATTTATTTAGCTTCTTTTAACTTTTTACACCAACATTTGCAAAACTTGAAGAAAAAGGATATGTTAAAAAAATAATTTATTGAAAAAAATTCTATGTATTAAAAATTTATCGAAAACAACACTTTCTGTCGATTTTTTACATTTACTTGTGTAATCATCTCATTATCTGTATATAAAGAATTATGATTAACGTTTTTATGTTTGTTTTGTGTATAGTATCCGAGTCCAGAATGGGACACCGTCACGCCGGAAGCCAAGAACCTTATCAATCAGATGCTGACGGTGAATCCAGGAAAGAGGATCACTGCCAGCGAGGCACTGAAGCATCCATGGATCTGCGTAAGTTTATCTTATCGAGGCGAACAATTTTGTTCTAACTTATATTACACGTTTACATAATTCAGAGAGTAACTTAATTATATTCGAATATTAGATCATATCGTATTAGATTATTAGCAACGAGATCTTATTGTGTATACGCGAGTATTGCATTTCCATATCTATGTGATACTACGTAATATATCGTACGTCACATGTGTATGTGCAATTTAATACATTAAAATATAGTAGTTATTTAAATTGGATAGATGAAAAATATATATAGATTGATAAAATTCCGATACATATATACTTTTATTGATAATAATAACTCAAGCCAAAATGGACAACAATCGTTTATTTTTTTATATTCTCAAGCATTATTATTCATGTTGACATAGCTTGTCTCTTATCTGCAGAATAGAATTTGATTTTTAGCGGAACGCGTGCGAAACTTGAGATTTAATCTCGAGTAACTTGAATCATTCTCTTCGAACGATGTCTGATATCGTCTCCTGTTTACTTTGTGTTTCAGCAACGTGAGCGTGTTGCATCTGTGGTGCATAGACAAGAGACCGTGGATTGCTTGAAGAAATTCAATGCAAGGCGCAAGTTAAAGGTGAGTTTCTCATTCAAAAGTTTTGTCCCGTGTATACGTTTATTCAATATGATTACGTATCATTGCCTTAAATTTCACTATATCTGCTTGACAATTATACGATTTCGGGATTTTCCATTATGAATTCGTGGTTTGTTATTTAAATGGCTCGGTTATTTCGAAAAACCAGTTACTGGGCAATAAATGAAAAAATACGTTTTTCTATTTGCGTGAAACAGTAAAATTTAAAATAAAAACTGAGATTATACTTTTCATGAATATTACGTGAATTTAAATGTTTATAAATATAAAATACACTTTTTGCTCATTCGGATAAACAATCGTTTTGTTATCTTCTGCGTAATTTCACCGTTTCCAATATTACATTTGTCTTAATTAGTAGTCGGATTGTATTTGATCCAAATAATCGTTAAATCACGAGATAAATGGAAATTGAAATTCGCAAGAGGTTCATTTCGGGAAATATATATAGGTATAGGAAATGTATAGATATTGTATAGATATAGGAATGGTATAGGTAATGGAATATAGGCTTTTATGAGAGTTGTCGAGAGATTTGTCGAAATTTGTTTGATTCGCGATTATCAATTGCTAATTTTATAGTTCACGGAAATGTATGACGGTAATCGCGCCGTAAATTCTCATTCTCGCCTGCCGCAAAATCTCATATATTAGCTCCGGCCATTTACAAATGCAAATTCCATTATGTCCGCTTATCACATTGCGGTCTGGATTGCGTCCGTGCAAAGCTGCGGATGTTAGTAACATCTGTAAAATTAGAACATCATGACGCATCGTGGCCGGAGGTATTGTAAATTCTTATCAATTCTTTCTCGGGAGGCATCGTCGAATGGGATCAATTTCGCGAAATATACATTACCTGTACATATTTCAAGAACACATTTCAAGAAATCTGCTAAACTTGTTAAAACTAAATGTAAATTATATACGTGAAAATTAATACTCTGAAAGAAGGAGAAATTTTGTATATACAAATTGTATTTTTTGCAATGATATAGTTTTGTGTAACGTAATTCTTTTTTTATTGGTGAATAATTAATCAGAATTGTAACTTTTATCTATTTACGGTCTCAAGATTTTAGTATACATTTTGAAATTTTATTGTCAAAAGAATCGACATTTCGAGTGATTTATGATTTAGAGAAGTAATTGAAAAGTGAGAAAAATTAGTGAAGAGTTTCGAAAATTTTTAAAACAAAATGATAAGCTGTCGATTCGATAAAAGATAGATGATGTCTCCCTACCTAGTCGTTCCTACGGCACTGTTCGACAAGTCACTGACGATTAAACGATGGCACGCATCGAGCAGTACGACTCCACTTGTCGTTGCAATCGCCGCACTCTCGACGCGGTGTACGAGAGCAGAGAGAGTGCCGCTTTTGTATCAAAGCCACGTGTGTTATAACGTTCATCCGCTGTTATCGAAATGCATCGAAAACTTGAGGCACGTGCGAGGATCCCTGTCAAAGGATTTCGATTTAATTGACTGTGAAACAGAATGCAAGAACTCCGCGAAATATTAAACGTTTGTAACGACGGACATCGGGAAGAATGTGAAAAATTCAATCATTATCTCTTAAATTTCATTTGATTTCATTGATTTTATCGAGAGTGAGTAGTGCCATTTATAATATTTTTTTCAGTACAATTAATAATTGTAATTTTTGTTCTGATGATTATATACATGATGACATTTACAAATTTTTTTTAGATACATAATTTTGCAAACCTCAAACTCTAATAACATTTTATAATACATATATTTATTTTAATTGTCACTGTAATTTATTCCTTTAAATTCCTATTATATGTATTTTTTTGTCTTACGCTAAAGTTTTTGTCGTTTAAATTTTCGTATATTGTATTTGTATATTGAGCTAGAAGCTTTAAAGGAAAATATATCTCAAATTTCATATTTTAACAAAATTACGCGGGTTTTAATTAATTGTAATGTTCATAAAAATATTATATATCAATCCAATTGTCTTTATTAAATGTGGATTACAAAGATTCATATACCATTTGCTTTTTTAACGTAAAACTACACTTAGTTAACTACAGCAATGTTTATTTAATTGGAACATTGGTCTGTAAGAATTATATCCTTGTAAGTTACGAGCAGAATCGGATACGCAATTTCGACCTATTTCTTCATGCTTACAGCATCAATTGAACGATATAATCACGACAACACTCGTGGTAGTCGTTTAATGTCCGAACAAAGCGCAAAGAAAACGTTCCATTATTTGATATGAACGACGACGTATGAACGGTTATTAAACGTCCAACAATAATGGCTCGCAATCGCGATTACACAACACGTGCACAAGTCTTATCGTTTATGTGCATAATATTTGAATCGTACATATGGTTACTGTAGTTAATGTGGTAACATACGGTTACACAATTCAATAGTGTTTTTAATATCGGGAATAAAGTCTGCTTCTTTGTAAAAAGAAGAGGAAAAAAGTATTGGCTCTTATAGAAAGAGAGATATTGATATTTTGATATTAGAAAATCTCGTTATGTATATTATTTTATAAAAATTTAATTAAATAATTTTTTTATGTGCGCGCGCGTGTGTCGGTCGATTATTATTTTTGATATAAAATAATGAAGAGATATTAGGTATTACATTTGCCAAATGGATTTTAATGTCATTGAAAAACGACATTACTACAATGTTTAATAGATAATTTTCATGCGTTCAGATGAGAATAATGCGTTTCGAAACCGGGTCGAGTTACATTAAAACTTGCTTCTCTCGCGAATGGTATTTGATATCGTTATCTTAATAACAGTCGACGACAGCAAGCGCGCAAAATCGATCAAGTTCATGTTCGTCTATACTCTTGCGTGACGTAATTATAATTGGGTACCTAGGTTAATTATATATAACATTTATCCAGTCACGACGATAGTATTTTTTGCGCGAGGTTGCCTCTGTGAGAATCAAATATCACGGCAAGCCAATTATCAAGTTCTTCCATAATGAAATGAATGAGTGGCCGGAAACTTCATAAGTATTTGAAAATTGTAATTTCAATAATACTATCAATAATATCTTGTTTCTTTTTAATTTTCATTTATAATTGTTCATTTATATTCTATAAAATAATAAAGACAAAATAGAATTTTGAAAAAAAATATTTCTTTTTTATATTAATTGGTAAAAAATTATTTCGTTGTTGATCGGTAAAATCGATGTGCAATCATATAACAATGATAGAATTATCTCTTTTGCTTTACATGGCGTGATAAAGATACAAAAGTTTTTTTTCCTCATGATTTTAGCGCAACAATAATGATTTGATTTTGTCAATATTATGCAATAACAATAGATAAATCCATGCTTATGTAAAACAGTATAATTAGAAAATTTTGTAATTTATATTATAATTTACATTACTTGACTTGGAGAAATTGATAATGCGATTTCTGTTTTGTCACAAACGACAAATTATCTTATAATTATCAATCAATTTATATTCATTATTAGAGACTCAATGAATTTTGAGACACTTGCGTGGTCTTGCTCTGCTATCGTGTTTCTTCAAGTTCAGTTTTACCGAAATTATAACAGCGAACTCGCGTATTAGAGGCAAGTAATCAGTCAAGCACAAAGAAATGACAGGGACGTCGAAGCAACCAGCTGAATACTGATTAAATCCTGACTCATAAAAGTGCAAATGCCCAGTGAGGAAGTTTAATGACACCCTCCGCTTGTTCGTTCGTTTGTTCTCACACAGCTCGCATTGAGATATGCGAGCACCGAGGAATAAATTTATGTTGTGTAGACAATAGGAGGCAACCTTGTCCGAGGTAATGAAATTTTAATCACTGTCAGTTTGACGTCTGGCAACATACTATCGTTCGCCTTAGCGTTAAATACGGTGAAAGTATAATATCGATAATACGACATTTTCACGATATTTATATTGCGTTCGCTATATACAGGATGACATAGAATTATTTATGAATTATTTATATATGCGAAACATTCTATATATTAAGTAAAAAACAACGTCCATCGATTTACACAGATCGAATGATTTTCAATTAGCGTTCTCTGTTACTCTATATATTTCTAAAAGTAATAATACGGATAGAGATTGATATAGATCAAACGATGAAAGGAGAGAAATGTTTCAGTTTTTGCGTGAAAACACTTTTATATTGTATTATGACAAAAACGGAATATCCGTTTTAATATGGAATAGTTTGGTAACAAAAAGTAAAAATTAATTGTTTTGCCTTTCTTCTAAAAGGATTACTATTTGTTTGTAATTCAATTATTGATATATTATCATTGTTCGTCGTAATATTCTTAATTAATTTAAATGCATGCAACACATTAATTAATTTTATGCGCAAATTCGTAGCTGCTAGTTTGTCTAACATTTAGTGTGATTAAGTCAGATTTATTAAAATTCCAAAGAGGAAATAGAAGAGATAAAATTGCACTTTTATGACTGTGAAATGTTGAGTTTAGTTTGAAATTTCCAAAGTATCTTCAAATAACTGTGGCTAAAAGCGTAAAAATTTTCTTTTATGCAGTAGTTGCTGCCGTTGTAAAAATTTTACTTAATAAAAACAAATTTCGGGATTAATGTAATTTTGTGACGCTATTTTAAAATTTGATAGTATTCTGCTCGTACAAGAGATATAGGTAATATCGATAAATCTCTATCAAGACTTTGCTATTTAATTAGTCGCGTAATTCGAATGTAAAACGGAAATGAGCAATGTTACTAATCGGGCGTGATTTGAAACAGACGGGCGAGATAGAATATCATTTCATTTCAGAGAGATAACAGACGTGGAATATCCGTTCGAACACATTTGCGAATCTCATCCGACGGACGGCCTTATTACATAAAGTTCGGCGACGCATCTCGAACTGTTTGCTATGGAACACAGTGAAATGTTGTCATTCTGTGCGACAATGTTCCCAACTTGCCGCGAATGTCACCAAGCTTGATGAAAGACGAGAGTTTACGAGTAAACTTCAACCCGAAACTCTGTATAATCATCCGACCTCACTCTTAAGGTCGCCTATCAGTCGCGGACTCGCTTGTCTGCGAATTATTTCCCGTAATTAGAAGCCTATCATGATGCGGTGGTTTGAACTTTTGCCGCAAAAGTTCAAATTTATATCATAATCGTACACACAATTGACTCCTATTGATCTTTTTGCATAAAATTATAATAGATCAATCGATAGCTTAATCTAATATTCTGTACATGTGTATATAAATTTTATTTCCGACGTCTTTTTTTAATGTTGTTTCTATTCTTATACGAAAGAAAAAAAATGTACCGCCATTAAGAATTTTCTATCCTTTTACGTCATGCTTCCTTTACTTCATCGATGTTATCTGACCGCGAAAACTAATAATAATAATAATAATAATCGTCTTTTCCTTTCGCTTGCAGGGCGCTATATTGACGACCATGCTGGCGACGCGGAACTTTTCCAGTAAGTATGATGCACAGGGTAAGTACCTCCGACCCTCTTCAGCGCTCTACACGGACCACGACAGACAGTACTTTTATATCTTCCGTTAAACTTTACATCTCCATATCTCTGTATACATTCCTTCAACAACTCACCATAACAAAATTACATCTCTCTCTCTCTCTCTCTCTCTCTCTCTCTCCTTTTCTCCTGTCGTTTATTCGTCTTGCACTCTCGTCACATAGAAAAACTATTCATCTGTCTTTTCGCTCTAGGTGCTTTATAATGCAGTTGTGCAATGTCGTCATTATTAAATACGTTATCTTATATCACTGTATCACAATGACAAATTGTCAATTTTATCTTGACATTTATAAGGATTAGTACAAAATCTTTTTGCATATTAATTGTATTCTATTGTATTGATATTATTATTTTTTTCTTTCTCATAGAAACGACTGCAGAATGGAGCATCTGTGTATATCTTTGCTCGTGCACAGAAATAAATTAGAGCCCTATCTTTGACAACCCCTTGTATTAAATGATCGAAGGAGCGAGGTTGAGCAAGGAATTAAAAAGTTATAATAACATGATGGTCATGGATAATTGACCGTATCGGTTATTCGAAAATTATTGTCCATGCAGGTTTCGTGGCTAATTAAGCGCTTATTAAACAAATAATCATATTTTATCCTCGCTCACTCGGCATATTGATTATCACTATATGATGTTCATCCCTACCTATTTCGTATATACTTTATATAGTCGATGCACATGGCTCGCACTTCATATCCTGCAAGGACTGTGGCACGTTACCCAGAGTGCAAGAATTTACAATTAGTTGTTTACATTGGACATATATGATTTATTTTATGTCGTATAACATAACTTATATCACTCTATATAACTCTCGTTATAAAGGCAAACAACTATCCCAAATTTTAATCCTTTCGTTGCAGTATCATAATGTTTTTTTTCAAGTTACTAGTAAGCAAAAATTGTAATTGTATATTGATCACTTTTATACCTACATCACTTTTGTACCTACGTAAACAATAAATGCAAAACAACGTTTATATTAATAAGATATGTTTATTGTTTGTTGTGTTGAAACTTTCCGGCATTCAAATGTTTACATATAAAGTATATGAATAATGAAAGGATTAAGAAAATATGTGTGTTTTACAATTTTTGTAAAGTTTGAGAAGTAAGGTATTGAATTCCACGCACATACACGTTTCTTGCGAAACGAAAATTCTGGGTAACGCAAATTGTCGTCGCAGTGGACTCAAGCAGTTTTCTCTTTCATCGAATCGCCATCGTTATCACTCCATCGGAAAATAATTTGACAAGCTAGGCAAATCATTGGATTATCTTGTGTTTCTTCAGAACATTCTTTCAATCGCTATCGTAATCAATCGTTTATACAATATATCGTGAGTGATCATTTATCGTAAGAACTACAACAGCACTCGGGGATCTCTAAAAATTCAGTAAAAATCCAAATCAGTTGCATCCGCTTAAACGTGTTTACAACAAATTTTATCGTCTGCACAAAATTTTTCATTGAAAATCGCTTATCCGGAATTTTTTATTTATTACGACAAACTTTTTGCCCAAGCTTGTAGGAATAATACCCACATAGGAAACGAAGTTATTGATACTGTTGTATTATCGAGGTGTCTTCCCCATTATCATTAAAATTAGATTTCCTAATTATTTTTTAAATCAATAATTAAAAAAAAATAGAGACACACATACTTGAATTAGAATTTTATGATTGGTAGAAAATGTAAAATCTATACGCATATTTTATGTCCCGTATTTAAAATGGATAATAATTGTTTTGTCTCGATGTTTTACTGGTTTTTATCGATTTTCGAGAAAAACCGTAAGAAATGTAGAAAAACGTGAAAATAATCGGGTCGTGTTATCATAATAATGTTTACTATCTAAAAATTGAATTTTATTAATCATTTATCGCGACGCAAACGAGTAGTTTATACGAAATCTCTAACTGCACGGGACGTATTGAAACTTACTACAAAGCTGGTGAGAGTCAGCGCAGAATAATCAATTAAGTCAATCCGATCCATTTGTCTTAAAATAGACTACATCGATATAAATTATTTCTAATTTTCGATTATCGATTTCTTAATGTTGTGAATCATGATTGGAACGAAGAAATTTTAATTAGAAAGATAATTAGGATAAAGAGATGGAACCAATCGGAATTAAGATTTGATAAAATAGTAACGCAACGCACACAACAATAACTGTATTATTAGAGATAATTATTATTATTAGAAATAATTTTATGATTCTGCAAAGAAAACGCGTAATTGTGTGCTAAATTGAGACTTTTAAAAATTAGATATACCGCGACTGTAAATATTTAAATTGCAAAGATCTATAAAAGGCGAAAAAACTTCAACGGATCGAAACGAAAAATAGCTCAACTGTTTCGGTCCACTAGCGAGATTCTCCTATGAATGACTGTACGTTTTATTAATGTTAATTATTTCCATATGTTTGTGTCAATGGTTTCCAAACTTTTCACTTTTTTATCTTTATAATTATGTATCTTCTGTCTCTCTCTCATTTTTAGAAAGAAAGAGAAAGAGAGAGATTAGAGATGCAAGCAAACATTGAAAATAAGGTTCTTTCAAAGGTTAGATAAATAATAGAAAAGTATTTACAGTTCTGTTAATTAATATATGGAGTAGAGAAAAATTCAATTACAATTAAAATTGTAGAAACAACTGCTTAATTTTTCTTTTCTTAAATTAAGTTAAATATATCAATCATTATATTTAATATATTTTCAAGTTTAATATATCATCTTTTTTTTGAAAATATTTTTAGTTTGGAAACTCTTGATCATCGGATTGGACACAGCCCTAAATTTAGAGCAAATTGCGCTTTTTGATCCTTATTCGTGCTAAATATATTTGACATTTGAAATATAAATAAATATTTGGAAAATTAAAATTAGTTTTTAGACACCATTGATACCTTGTCATCGATTTATATAAAAATATTGAATATTACATAAATCATGTAGTTGTATTCTTTAAAGTTTGATAATAAATTACACTGTTAGACATGTGATAATAAATAATCATTAAGTATGAATACATGTGCATAAGAATGTTAAGAAAGTTGTATATTTTATACTTTATGAAACATATTTAGATTTGTATTTTTACGAAGTACGTATAGTACGTAAATTAGCAAATTATTATACAAAGGTAGTAAAATATATGTAAAAATTATAAATTAAAAAAGAGAAGGAAATTTTTTTTTAAATAAACACAACATTCTCAGCTGTGATTTGTGCTGCATCAGTTTCAGTATTTACATAAAAATGAATCTACTCTTTTAAGAGACGAGTGCGAATATGGGTCATTATAGACATTGCATATATGCATACATATATGTATATGTACACATCTCGCTACTATTTGCTCGAATAGCGTAAATATATGCGGATTCGTTCCACACCCGTAATAGTTGTTTGACAGATAATACGTCACGTTATGTATGGCATATGCGTCTATACATATATGTATGTACATATGTAGGTACGTATATGTATAGACAACCGAAGAATATCCCTAGAGTGTGTCTCGACCCTCGCCTCCCCGCCCCTCTTTTTAGATTGACAAGTAGCTAAGCATCTTGCATTAGTAGATTCGATGATACACGTGTACCATATATCTGTATAACACACGTGCGTTTTATCTTTTACAATCGGTGTTAGAGTATGTACATATACGTGTCTATGTCTATTTTTGTCATTTTTAATGATATTTCAAGGACATGCTCACATATTTATATAGAATGTCGGGGGTAGTTTGCGTAGTTTGTCGCGGGTTGCTGGATTAAACAATTACACAAATCGAAGACTATTTTGAATTGAGAATTTACATGAGATACTGAAAAATTCTGCGATATCCTTAGGCCCGAAAAACTTCTTATTGTGACAAAAAATTAATTTATCTATTTCGGAAAAGTTATAATAAAACATGATATGATTAGTATTTATTTTCAAATAACATTTGATATGGAATATGCCAGATTTTTCTTTTGTCTTGCTGCAATTGAGAATTAAGATTGTGCAGTTTATAGTTTGTTCAACACTATATGGTTGTAGATAAACGATTTTTTTATCTACAAAAACACCTCTTAAACTTGGATTAACTTGGTTAAACTTGGATATTTTTTTTTTTTAGCTCTATTGTGTTTTGCAATCTTATAAATGGACAATTATTTGCAGTTTTTGTAAATTTTATACAAATTATTTCTAATATTATATACAAAAAATAATGTACGTGATAATAGTTTATCGATTTTTCAGAATATCTTATATTTCGAGGTATCATTTTTGCGATAAAAAAATTTTTTTATCACTAGTTATTTCCTAATACTACGATCTTGTATACTGTGACAGAAAATTGTTCTCGAGTGAAATGATATCGTTTTTTATTTACATACGAACGGCTGTTCTCTTTCACACGCCCATCCTCTACATTCGGCGCGAATCTTTGTTCGAATGACTGCGAAACAATTAACTCTCCGTCTTCCCGTGTCTTAAGTTTTCTTCTAATGCCCTTCTTCCTCCCTTTCTTCCTCCCCTCTCTCTCTCTCTCTCTCTCTCTCTCTCTCTCTCTCGTAGAGAAAGAGTCGAACTTTGACTTTAATTAAATTTATTTCATCGCCTTGAGCCGACTCTCGAACTGTAAGCTCTTCCAGCTTTTCCGCGCTTCCCTCTTGGCACGCGACTTCATTCCCCACTTCGGATTTACCTTTTGCTTTTGGGAGAGGGAGAAAGGCTATTATCCTTGAGCTTCTGGCACACTGTTATTATGGAAATCGGCTTTAAGAGCTCCGCGACAAACTCCGAACGAAATACAAATCGAGAGTATCGATGGTTTGTTTAGTCGAATTGCTTTTCACGCCGTATCTTGATCGAGACAGCTTATGGTAGAAGAGCCGATCTTGCAAAAATAATAACTGTCGAAAATCTGTTTGAAGAA